CTCTTTCTATACAACAAATACGGCGTTCAATTATTTTATATCATTGATCTAACTCAATAAGCGAGATCAATTAAAATTAATGTACTAAATTAATATCTATAATGATATATCATTTCGCTGATCGATTTTATTTAATAAGAGAAATATTGGAAACTACATTGAGTTAAGATTCTTAAAATAAAACGGCTAAAATACCAACGTTAGTAATATTCAAAAATACGTGGCAATAGTCGAAAAAAAAGAAATGGTGTAGAAAAATGGGCTGTAGCAATAACGTCAATGATCTATTCAACATTCTGTTTTCAAAGAAGAAACCGATATTGAAAAACGGATTCCAGTCTTCTTTATGAAAACACCGTCGAAGTGTTGAGATATAGTTCCAACTTAAAAAATCGCAAATTCGAAAACTTGCAAATGCCAATAGTTTCTTGATAATCATTATATAGAAATACTGAGCTTAGAGTTAAGGAATGTCTTTTGGTATGTGAGTCAATTTTGAGGTGTCAATAAATTCAGTATAACAGAATAATAATAATAATAATAATAATAATAATAATAATAATAATAATAATAATATTTTTTTTAAATTCTTATTGAATTTCATTAACATAAATTAGTTTTGTGTCCTAATAAGACCAACAGGTTAGCATCGAATTCCCTACAGTCTAAGAACTCGTATTTATTCAATTATTTTTTTGGGTTCATTAGTTTATGAGTTTACGAGTTCGCAACCAATATTTGTAGACCGATAGCTGGTATGTTCAAATTCCTTGAACAACTGTTCTGCCCGCACACCTCCATACCCCTGAACGACCATCCTTGACTTTCTTCTCTCTTTCCTCTCTCTTCTCTCTCTCCTCTCTCTCTAAAGGCTGAAGTAGCTCAGGGTACTAACTGATGTCACTGAAGTGCCTCTGACAGGGAGGCCCTAGTGTACGAGTTCTGATTGAGGCAGGCTTTTCGACACTAGCTACGTAGTTAGATCGAATGCAGCTGCAGTCTGGAGAAGAATTATAGCGCCCGACTGCTCTTGTGGTTTCTCCGATCAAACCAGTCCAATGCCGGAGCAGTATCGTAACAAACGGGACCCGGACCTCGCGTGATTTTCCCGTCCTCTTCTTTATCCTATCCTCATCCCTTACTTACACACACACACACACACACACACACACACACACACACACACACTTACTTTCTATATACTACAATAGTTCCCAGGAAATCAGTCGAGAGATTCGAGCTTGACCCGGGAAGGGCAGTGCCCGGAGAGTGGGAAATACCTGGTTAGGGAAAACCCCATTAACCGACGTGTAGATCGTCGCCAGATCTCGCCATCCAGCAGGAAAAATCACTGCCAACTTCTTAGATAAAAACATAGACTAATGTCCATACTACTTAACGTGCCCCGACAACCGCAATAATCAATTAATACAACACATGAGGATTGATCTGATTATTATTGTACCATAATAATAATAATAATAATAATAATAATAATAATAATAATAATAATAATAATTATTATTATTATTATTATATAATGGGCATGTTGGTTATATTATCTTATTTATGAAACCGGGTTATGCCCAATTGCAGATTAAATAAATGAATTTCAATGTATTCTATATGTAACACTAAACTATCCACCCCCGCCTTCCGTCTCTCTCCGCCGAGCTATCGCGCGCCGCCTCTCTCCTCCGCTCTGCCTCCTTCCACGCGTCCGCAGCAGCAGCGCAGCCTCCGGCGGCGAAAACGACAGTCACGTTCGGCGCCGCGTCCCCTCCCCCTCCCTCTCCCCCTCCTCCCCCTCCTCCTCCTCCGCGCCTCGCGCGTCCCCCTTTCCCACGGCCTCCCCCGCCCACGGCGTCACCTCGCTCTCTCACCCAAGCGGTGACCCCTCCCCTCCCACACGGTAGCCGCCGCTCGCCCCCACTCGGAGCTGCACCTGGCGGCGAGCTGGCCGCTCGAGGATTCTGGGGAGACGTTCTAGGAGAAGGGGGCGGAGTGGGGGTTGGCTCTGGGTGGGGAAACCACTCAGGTTGTTAGTCACGTAGGGGTAGTACACATTGAGTAAAATACTTACGTCTAGTATGGTTATTAGTTCGTGACTAGTATGGTCATTAGTTCATTCTTCTTATCATGGGACGTGGAGATGGTCTTCTAAGCTGGATGGTGAAATCCATCGCTGACCTACACGTCGGCCAGCGGGATATTTTGCCCGACCCAGATATATCCCACTATCGGGGCACTGCCCATCCCGGGACAGCCTGTAAGCTCCCGACTGATCTCCTGGCATGTGAAGTAGTATAAGTGTGTGTATAAGTAAGGGGTGAATGTGGGAAAAATAAGAGAAAGGAAAGATCTCGGGACTGTGGCCCGTTTTTTAGGGAGCTGGACCGGCATTTACGTGGTGTTGATAAGAGAAACCTCAGAAAACTATCGATCAGAGCTCACGGCTGCCAGACGGACAGTGAATCTATGTAGCTAGTGTCGAAAATTCTGCCACTGTCGGGATTCGAACCTAGGACCACCTTGTCAGAGACACCGCAGTATCATCAGCTCTAAGCCAACTTTCTCGGTGTTTCGTATAGATGATCCGTGGAGTGAGTGTGTGGGTATTGATTCCGGGTACGTCGACTTGTAAGGTCGTTAGTTCCGTAAGAATAGTGCATATTATGTAGTGGGAGATGGCGTTGTTTGTCCTCCGGTGGTTTCGGTAAAATCTGCTCGCTGGCTCATTTGGCATTCCGGCTGCAGGTATCTCCCCAAGCGGGGCACAGCCCCAACCGGATCAACCTCTGGTCTACCGACATGTGTGGTAGTGTATTGCATCCAAGTAGAAGTATGTGTGTATGGAGAAAGAGGGACAAGACTAAGGAAGGGAATGGTTGCGTAGGCTTGGAAGGGAGGATCACGAATCACTTGCTAAGGAAGGGAAGATCACGTGTGGTCCATGGACGGTTGGTTAGGATTTTGCTTCAGAATTCGCCTAATATTGATCGAAAAAACATGGAAAACTACCTTTTACACCAGGTCGCTTCTAAATTCGCCTGGACAGTAGTTGAATTCGACCCACCTATAAACGAGTAATTAGTGTCCTAAATATGCCACTGTTGGGACTAGAAGACAAAGATCATTCAGTCAGTGATGTTGCAGAGGGAATAACAATGATCTCCCTGAACTATCGAGATGGTTATTTCATGGTGGTCCGTTTGCTATCACAATTAATACCTGTGTCTGAGGCTATGGTTCTTGGTTTTCGACATCACTTTCCAATCATACCTTTATGTTTTCGGAAGCTTCAAGCATAAGTCTTTTATTGCGACACACGATCACATCCTTTTAGCTCGACTTCAGTATCTCGCCGGGGAACATTTTCCGCTAATTTGGCAGTGCTGGGGTTCCGCCTTTCTCTGTGAAGTTTCTAACCCAAATACTACAATTTTCAAGTATTTGATAGCTGGAAACCTTAATAATCTTGAAAATGATTCCTTCAACCATATTGGGTTTTCCAGTCCGCCCTTTCAATCTCGAACTTCATTTCTCTTCAAGATTTCTCCTCTCTTGCTTCTTCCTGTCACACTTCTACCCGTCCCGTCCTCACTACCGGTTTCCAGCCAGCGTGCTCAGGCAGGCTCCTCGGCCTCCAAACTTCACTTCCGCATCCTCCATCACATCCCTGCGGCACACCCACGCTGCTGATTCATCGTTGCTTGTGGCGCTCTCCCGCGCTCGCTGCCACCACACCTTCCTCTGCCCGCGAGTTACGACGGCTGTTCGCTGTTTTACTGGCCACTCCTCGTCTCTTCTTCTCGTACCCTCCTTTATATTTTCTTTCTTACTTTCTTGTCGTCAACTTCACTTCCGTGTCCCTGATTCTCCGTAGTTAGAAGGCAGTGGAGCTGACTACTCAGCGCCACGTGACTTCTAATCATATGTGTAATTAAGCTAGTGGTTAATTGAACATACTACTTCATAGTTTTTTCTCTGTCGTCCTGTTCCCCGTTGTTATTTCATAAACTTTATTAGTTGTCAATGTCTCACTAGCTAATTACTGCATCTGTACGTAACAGCAATTACACCGTCCCCTACTGGAGGCAGGAGGTTTTGAAACTAATGAAGGTCGAGACATGTGACGAAGTTTGTATGTTTGTGGGTGTGTGCGTGTGTTCGTGCGTACGAGTGAGAGAAATATATTATTAACCAATCCGACAGAAAGTATCTTATAAGAAAAAAATCAATGAATTAAACAGGAAATTACTGTATATTTGGCAAAGATAGACTGAAAGAAGGTGCTGGTTTAGTTACCCTCTGTTCTTGAAGTTGGCTTTGCAGCCAATTTGAGAGGAAATTATGTATTTAACAGGTGACGCGTGATGCTATGAAACGTGTAATCTGAATGTTTTATCCCCATATTGCAACCAGCACTCTCAGCGGGAGGTGGTGATGTTCTGTATCACCCTCTCCCTTCGAGCTGCCCCCACACCTCCCCTTTCCTCCTCCTCCTCCTCCTCCTCGTCCTCCTTCTTCACCTCGCCCTATTCTGCGTTTCTCTTTCGCACGCCTCGCCC